ATAGAAATATATAAGAAAAATCTTTGAAAATCTTCTCAAGAACCACTGGGCAAGAAAAGCTGAAACTTATGTGGAAGCATCCTGATATAGTGTAGATTCTAAATTGTTCAAATCATGACCCCCGGGAGGAGGGCGGGGCCACAATGGGGTATCAAAATTTTACATAGAAATATATAGGAAAAATCTTTGAAAATCTTCTTCTCAAGAACCACTGGGCCAGAAAAGCTGAAACTTATGTGGAAGCATCGTGGTATAGTGTAGATTCTAAATTGTTCACATCATGACCCCCGGGGGAAGGGCGGGGCCACAATTGGGTATCAAAGTTTTATTAGCTCTTCTGAGCCAAAGGCTCAAAGAGCTAATGCTATGGCCATTTGTGCGGTGTGCGTCGTGCGGTGTGCGGTGTGCGTTAACTTTTTAGATTATGGGCCATAACTTACGAACCCCTTGGCCAATTATTGTCAAATTTGTCACAGGGTATCCTTGGCCCAAGGGCTACCATTTATACTAAAAAAAGGGTTGAGACCCTTAAACAAGGGGAGATAATCAGGAAAACAAAACCAAAAGTACTGGTTGCTAAAAAATCTTCTTCTCCAGAACCACCTGGCAGATTTTCACCAAACTTACATACAAGGATCAGGATATGTTGAAGATTAAAAATTGTTCAAGGCATGACCCTCTGGCAAAGGGCGTGGTCTCAAGGTCACTTCAAAGTTGACCTAAATTTACAAATAATAAAAATGTTTATATTTTGCTTACTATTAGGACTAGGATCATCAAATCTTGTAAGTTGATGCATCTCAGGACTTCACATCATGTTAACTCAAAAGTAGGTCACGGTGACCTACTTTTTAAATTTTGTGGGCATTTGTTTTCAAATTGATTTGAAGGCACATTTTGGTCACTTTAAGGCCTATGATCATCAAACTTTGTCAGTTGATGCATCTTGGGTCCTTGAACAATGTCAGCTTAAAAGTAGGTCACCGTGACCTACTTTTTGAACTTTATGACTAATTCTTCTTAAAACATTTAATCCAATTATTTCAGACACTGAGAGGTTTAGAATCATCAAATCTTGTTAATTGATGCATCTTGGGACTTTAAAACATATTTATGAAAAAGTAGGTCACTGTGACCTACTTTTTGAATTTTACAGGCATTTGTTTTCGAATTATTTAAAAGGCATATTCGATTACCTTCAGACCTAGGATCATCAAACTTGGTCAGCAGATGCATCTTGTGACTCTGAAAAATGTTGACCAAAATATAGGTCATGATGACCTAGTTTCAACATTTTATGGCTATATTTTGGTATCTTAGGTATTTATTGGCTTAGAATCATCAAACTTTGTGAGTTGATGCATCTTGGGTTTTCGGAGAGTAACAAACAAAAAGTAGGTCACGGTGACCTACTTTTGACATTTTATGGCTTTATTTAAGTAATTATGGTACTTATTGGCTTAGAATCATCAAACTTTGTAAGTTGATGCATCTTGGGTTTTCGGAGAATGATGTCCAAAAAGTAGGTCACTGTGACCTACTTTCGACTTCTTATGGCTATATTTTAGTATCTTAGGTATTTATTGGCTTAGAATCATCAAACTTTGTAAGTTGATGCGTCTTGGGTTTTCGGAGAGTGATGACCAAAAAGTAGGTCATGGTGACCTACTTTTGACATTTTATGGCTTTATTTAAGTATCTACGGTACTTATTGGCTTAGAATCATCAAATTTTGTAAGTTGATGCATCTTGGGTTTTCGGAGAATGATGTCAAAAAAGTAGGTCACTGTGACCTACTTTTGACATTTTATGGCTTTATTCAAGTAGCTCTGGTAATAACTGGTTTAGAATCACTAAACTTTGTTTGTTGATACATCTTTGGTTTTTAGAGAATGTCAATCAGAAAGTAGGTCATGGTGACCTACTTTTAAATATCTCAGGTACTGTTTGGCTTAGAATCATCAAACTTTGTCAGTTGATGTATCTTGGGTTTTCAAAGAATGTAGACAAAAAGGTAGGTCATGGTGACCTACTTTTAAATATCTCAAATACTTATTGGCTTAGAATCTTCAATCTTTGTTTATTAATGCATCTTGAGTCCTCAGAAAATTTCAATCTTAATATAGGTCACTGTGATGTACTTATGGTTTTTTATAGCTTTATTATTAAAAATATTTTCAGTCATTATTGGCTAAAAATCATCAAACTTTGTCATTTGATGCAACTTGGGTCTTAGGATACTTAAGGTTAGAGGCTTCAAATAGAAGTGATAGATTGTACAATTTATCAGAAGAGCGATTCAAGGCCCTTGGGCCTCTTGTATAGAAATATATAGGAAAAATCTTTGAAAATCTTCTTCTCAAGAACCACTGGGCCAGAAAAGCTGAAACTTATGTGGAAGCATCCTGGTATAATGTAGATTCTAAATTGTTCAAATCATGACCCCCAGGGGAAGGGTGGGGCCACAATGGGGAATCAAAGTTTTATATAGAAATATATAGGAAAAATCTTTGAAAATCTTCTTCTCAAGAACCACTGGGCCAGAAAAGCTGAAACTTATGTGGAAGCATCCTGATATAGTGTAGATTCTAAATTGTTCAAATCATGACCCCCGGGGGAAGGGCGGGGCCACAATGGGGTATCAAAGTTTTACATAGAAATATATAGGAAAAATCTTTGAAAATCTTCTTCTCATGAACCACTGGGCCAGAAAAGCTGAAACTTATGTGGAAGCATCCTGGTATAATGTAGATTCTAAATTGTTCACACCATGACCCCCGGGGGAAGGGCGGGGCCACAATGGGAAATCAAAGTTTTATATAGAAATATATAGAAAAAATCTTTGAAAATCTTCTTCTCAAGAACCACTGGGCCAGAAAAAGTGAAGCTTATGTGGAAGCATTCTGGGGTAGTGTAAATTCTAAATTGTAGGAATCATGACCCCCGGGGGAAGGGCGGGGCCATTATAGGGAATTAAAGTTTTACATAGAAATATATAGGAAAAATCTTTGAAAATCTTCTCAGGAACCACTGGGCAAAAAAAGCTGAAACATATGTGCGCATGGAAGGATCATGGGGTAGTATAGATTTCAAAATGTCTAAATTATGATCAGTGGGGTAGGGTGGGGATGCATTATGTATAACAAGGGGGAAATCGGGTAAAGAACAGAATGGTCAAGGCTTCTCAGGTGAGCGATGTGGCCCATGGGCCTCTTGTTATTAATATCAGCATTTCCAATACAGTTGAGTTTATTTCCTTGCAATATTTGGAATAAAAAAGTCAATACTTTCATGTCTTTGTGATGTTAATATATTTATAATAGGGTAAGCTGACTTGTCTGGTCAGAATGGTTCGTGAAATGATAGACAGACACACTGTCAATAGACCAAGACTACTGAACCTGTTTTGTAATGAGGTAAGTGTATTTTAAGGTTAACTTTTGATTAAAAAAAATAAAATCTTTCATTATTATGTCACCTGAGTAAACTCAGGTGACCTATTGCTATCTGTTTCGTCCATTGCGTCCATCGTGTGTTAACATTTAAACATTTTCAGCTTCTTCTCTGAAACCGCTGAATCAATTTCAACCAACTTTGGCATATAGCATCTATGGGTAAAGGGGAACAAAAATTGTGAATTTCATGGTCCCTGCCCCCCTGGGGCTTGGGGGATGGGGCATCAGCTTCTTCTCTGAAACCGCTGAATCAATTTCAACCAACTTGGGCATATAGCATCTATGGGTAAAGGGGAACAAAAATTGTGAATTTCATGGTCCCTGCCCCCCTGGGGCTTGGGGGATGGGGCAAAAACCACTAAAATTAGTGCAATCTTTAAAAATCTTCTTAACTCCTGGACATCAAGCATTCAAACTGTTGGTATGATTGTAATCAGCAATAAGTCCTCTACCAAAATTGTGAAATTCATGGCCCCAGAGTCAGGGGTTCTAGTGCTAGGGTGGGGCTAAATAGATTATATAGTGAAAATGCATTATTTCTTTGAATTTCTTCTTTTCTGCTTCTGGGCATTAAATAACCTAACCAAGTGCATAGTTCAGCTAAATATGGCTGCCTCTTCCAAAATTGTGTATTTCATGACCCCAGGGTCAGGGGTTCCAGTGCTAGGATGGGTCTATATAAATTATATAGTGAAAATGCATTAATTCTTTGAAATATCTTCTTCTCTGCTCATGGGCATTAAAAAAACTAACCAAGTCCATAGTTATGTTGAATAAGGCTGCCTCTTTCAAAATTGTGAATTTCATGGCTCCAGGGTCAGGGGTTCTAGTGCTAGGGTGGGGCTATATAGATTATACATGTATAGTGAAAATGCATAAATTTCTTTGAAATTCTTCCCTGCTCATGGGCATTAAATAAACTAACCAAGTCCATAGTTATATTGAATAAGGCTGCCTCTTCCAAAACTATGAATTTCATGGCCCCAGGCTCAGGGGTTCTAGTGCTAGGGTGGGGCTGTAAAGATTATATAGTGAAAATGCATAAATTTTTTGAAAATCTTTTCTGCGCCTGGGTATTAAACCAATGAACTATGTACATAGTTATGAGGAGGAAGGATGCCTCTTTGAGATTTGTGATAAAATTTAAGATGAAATTTCCAAAGTTTTGAAATATTTGGCCCCAGAATCAGTGGTTTCTGTGGAGAGGGGTGCACAACTGGTGATTATAATGTGAAAAGGCGTTTTCTCTTTCTCTGATCTACCTCTGGGTATTAAGTAACCAAAGTAAACATGCCAAGTGTATAATTATGATAAACAATGGTGCCTCTTTCAAAATTGTGAATTTCATGGTTATTTGTTTTTATTACACACTTAGTAATAAATACAGGTTTTTTGCATATGCGATACAGTTAAAATTACATTAGCCATATCAGCCCTCGGGGGCTGATATGGAACCTGCAGTGCTGATATGGATTTGTAGGGCTGATACGGATATTTTCACTCTCAATCCGGAACTCCATATGTCATATGGCAGACGATCATGGACGAAAAACAGAAACTTCTTAATGAAAAAACCTTTGAAGCTCTTGGAAGCAGTCTGAGTGAATTGGAATACTTGTGTGGTTTGAACACCACTGATGTATGTGAAGATTCTTGCGGTTTATTAGATTCAATGCCATTAGGCCAAGATGAAAACCTCGAGCCAGCAGTTACTACGCTCGACAGTGACACTGTGACCGACACGCTGGATGATGAAAAGTCTACCTTTGACTTTGTGAAGGAACTGAAAAATGTTAACACAACAAGAAAAACTGACTCGGATTTAAGAAAATTTACAAATTACTTAACAATGAACAAAGAGTTTAGGAAACCAGAGGAAATCCCGGTCGGAGAACTCGATTTACATTTAGCTAGATTTTTTATGAACGCGAAGAAAACGAATGGTGAGGAATTTGAACCAGACACGCTTAAATCAATACAAGGAAGTGTTAATCGTTACTTCGCAGACAGAAATTTGAAAATAAACATTTTAAATGATAAAGAATTTAAACTCGTGATGTCCTCGCCTCGAAAAGAAAGCTACTAAGATCCATGGGCAAAGGAAACCGCGAGAAGAGAGCAGAGCCCCTTACTCCTGAAGAAATTGATATTTTATATCAAAAGAATCTTCTGGGTACCGGTAAGTTATAATTTATTAATACTAAGAATATTTATTCTTCAAATTTTCAATTTAAACAAAATATAAATATCAAAAAGAAGGATTTTTTTTTAGATTGTCATTTGCGGAACATAAAATTTTGTCAATATATACTGTACATATCTGTGTGTTTTCTGTCTTAAATAGTTCATTTTTAGCTCACCTCAACGAAGTTGGGGGAGCTTATGTAATACCCTCGGCGTCGGCGTCCCGGGTTAAGGTTAAGTTTTTTGGAGCAGTTTTCTTTTTAAGTACTTCTATGTCCTATATTGATTAGACATGCATGGAAGATGTTTCTAGTGTGTTTCACTGTACCAGTGAAAGTTTCAGATGCTGCAGTTTCAGCCAAGGAATGACCAGGTTAATGTTTTTGGAGCAGGTTAACATTTTTGGTGCAGTTTTTGGTGTAGGTCTCATATTTGAGTAACTATAAGCCCTATGTAGACCAAACTTGCATGGATGATACATATAAGGATGCACACTGCCAGGCTTGCTTCGGATGCTGAATCTGACCTACATTTTCCACATGAGTGAATAGGTTAATTCTTTTGGTGCAGGTCTCCCTTCCAAGTAACTATGAGCACTATAGTGACCAAACTTGCATGGTACATCTAAGGATGGATACTACCAGACTTGCTTTGGATGCTGAATCTGACCTACATTTTCCACTTGAGTGAACAGGTTCAAGTTTTTGGTGCAGTTTTTATATCAAAGATAAGTATGAGCCCTTTAATGACCAAACTTGCATGGATGATACATCTTAGGATGCATACTACCAGACTTGCTTCGGATGTTGAATCTGATCTACATTTTCTGCATGAGTGAACAGGTTAAAGTTTTTGGTGCAGGATTCATTTCCAAGTAACTTTGAGCTCTTTAATAACTAAACTTGAATGGATTATACATCTAAGGGTGCATTCTACCAGGCTGGCTTCAGATGCTGAATCTGACCTACATTTTCAGGATTAGTGAAAAGGTTTTTTTTATTCATGTTTCATTTCCAAATAACTTTGAGCTCTATGTTGAGCAAACTTGCATGGATAATATATCTTTAGGACGCACACTAATGTTCAGATGCTGAACTCACAGCATAGATTTTCCAGAAAATGGACCTGGTATAAGTTATTGTGCAGGTTTATTACCAAGAAACTATAAGGTTGATATAAACCAATTATAAACCTGCACAAATGATGCATTAAGGGGTGAAAACTCTTAAACTTGCTTCAGATGCTGGATTTCAATTACGTTGTAGAACTAGTTTGAAGTTTTTATATAGGCCTATTCTAAAGTATCAAATCAAAATTGCATAAATTTTACATTTTTGGATGTACACTTTTTTGGGTTAATTGTGTGACTTTGCCTTACTGAAAGACAACATTCGTTGAGGTGAGCTCTGTAATCTCTGATTACCAATGTTTAAAAATATTTTTAGGAGATCCAAAGTCTCTGATGAATGTGTTGTATCTAAATAATACAATGCATTTCGGAATGCGCAGTAGGATTGAACATGTCAACCTGAGGTAGGGTGATGTGACAATGAAAGTTACTTCAACGGGAGAAGAGTACTTGGAATACACAGAAAGAGCAACTAAGACAAGAACTGGTATAACGAGTGACACCAGGAATTTTGCTCCGAAAATGTTTGAGGATAGAGGTAAACATTAATTTTAAAGAAAAAAATGTACACATAGCTAAGCACAGATATCTTGGAACTCATGTTATAAAAAAGAATGTATTTTGCTAAATTTTTTATAAGTACTATCTTATATCATGCAGGTAATCCCCGATGCCCTGTGTTAGCTTACAAAGAGTTTGCGAACAGGAGACCTGAGCCAATGGAAAAGCCTGAGTCACCATTCTACATAGGCATTTCAAGAAATCCAGAGAAAGCCTGGTTCGTTAATCAACCTATGGGAAAAAACACAATTGGAAATATTGTTAAGGTGATGTGTGAAGCTGGTGGCATTCAAGGAAGAAAAGTAAATCAAAGTGCTAGAAAAACAGCCATTAGTTACCTTGTTCATGCAGGTGTTCCCAAACCTTGATTCAGCAGTTTTCCGGTCATAAGAATGTAAAGTCGATAAATAATTACATCAGTTCCTCGAGTGATCAGCAGAAACATATGTCCTCAATTCTCACTAATTAATCAAGTTGATCTGAATACATATATCCAGAAGATCTAGCAACTTAATCTTCGATTCCATCCCCAGATTGTTCGTCTCTACCACTGGCTCCCATAATGTCTATATGTCATCAGTGATCAGTATGAAACATTGACCATGTTACATTAGTAACTGTACAAATATGTGTGATAAAATTATTAATTTAGTCAATGGTTATTAAAGTGTATTTGTTCTGTGTTCTGTGTTCTGTGTGTTATTCTAAGTATGTAATAAATA